GGGGGGGGGGGGGGGGGGGGGGGGTGCTCCTCCTCCTCTTCTTGATAAGTGACTTTACCTTTCACCTCCAGAACCCGGCACACATCTCTGCGACATATCCCCATCGAGCTAATCTCTTTTGGTCCGGTAAGCTACCACGGTTAGCTTGGACCAACCCCTCAGGAGTGTGTGTGTGTGTGTGTGTGTGTGTGTGTCTGTGTGTGTGTGTGTGTGTGTGTGTGTGTAAGTGTGTGAGAATTGAACCCATTCATATTAGAGGCTCGCACGCATAATGTGCTGCCAAAACCTTCACGCCGTAATGACACGATGGGCAGAACAATCAACAGTCATCATAACAAAACGGCCTTTGATTTAGGTTCTTGACAAGCCTTGTGACCTTCTGAACTTTGAACGGAATTTGTGAGGTCCGAAAGTGGATCGAAATGGATTTGGCCTCGCAGCCTCCCGGGTTGGTCTCGAGATTTGGATCCTCAAAGTCAATTGTCTTTGCGGCGATCCACTTTTTCCCTTGACCGCCGCACCATGTTTTTGTGGTTCAGAAAAAAAAAAAAAAAAAAAAAGTTAAAAATAAATAAATAAATAATTAAAAAGAAATAAATAAATTAAAATAAATAAAATCTATTTATTAAAAAAAAAACAAAAAAACATCCATTTTGTAAAAGTACACATATAGTTTGTGCTTTCCAGTCGCTTTTTCCCGATGGTCCAATTGCGTTAGCGGGCCTTTGTGTTTCGTGTGCAAGATCAATCCGACACTGTTTTACGCTTTCACCGTTTTGAAATTCCCACACGACTCTTCAAAGAACAACGGGTCAATGTTCGGCAGAGATTACTCACAAGTCTTTCAAGCTCCTTGAACACTGTTCCCATTGTCCCATAAAACACGCACGCATTTGTGGCATGTCGAGTTTCACACGTTTGAGATTCCCACCATTTTTTTTTCGATCGGTCAACATTTGCCTTGATTTGACACACACTGATAAATCTAAAAAACTTTTTTTGTTGTTTTTTTTACCGTAAAAAAATGGCTTCTTTTTGTTTTGCTGAATGCACGAGTGCAAATGATCAGGTTAGAACGTGATAACTTACAAGTAAACTGTGGAACGTACCGCGTTAAAATGTGAAACCGCCTTATAGTGTGAACTTTACCACATGAAAAACGTGAACTCCATCACATTTTAACGTGATACAGAACTTCCCACATTGCAACGTGAAATTTACAACGTGATAAGACATCGCCGATTTTACGTTATTAATGTGACGAGTTGTGTCGCGAGAACGGGAAACTGAGTACAGTGGTACTTCCACTTACGAAATTAATTGGTTCTGGAAGAAATTTCTTAACTGGAAAATTTTGTAAGGAGAGACACATTTTCCATGTAAATGCCCTAATCCGTTCCAACCCCCCCAAAATCCAGACATCAATGTTTCCTAAAGCTTAAAAATGCATCCAAATATGTAACAAATACATCTTACAATTCATCGCGTTCTAACATGAACGTGACCGTTTTATTGAAAGCACTCCAGCATTCTGTGTACCCAAGTAGACTGTTCTCGATCCTTTTGTGCGGAGGAGCTCAAACGGAGAGAAATGGATCACCGAGTTCCACTTCCGACCGGCTCTACGGTTACCGTCACATATTGCCTCTCTTTGCCACCATTTTTGTTTTTGAATGAAACAAACAACAATAAGCCCCCCGATGTAATGGCAACCAAGTTGAGTCTAATTTCTTTATTTACACTTCCTCAACAATACATAAATAACCAACGTTAAGCTCTGAATTATTCAAAATTTTTTTTAACCATTATTGATATCATAATAGTTGTACTTATTATTTCTACCGAGCCGCTTTTCATTGTTTGCGCATCTCTTTTACTGACAATGACATAAGGGTGCACAAACGCAAAAAAAATATTTTCGCCTCGCGGGTGATTCATAATAACTTTTCATAATGATTATAATCAAAAGGCTCTTGGGTTAAAAGTTGACGGGGAGGGAGTTCCGCTAAAGATGCACAAATTGACTTGCATGCCGACGCGGACGCGCACACGCGCAGGTGCTATGACAAAATCTGACGCCGCCCACGTGAATGAGCGAAATATGCTTTGATATGATGACACATTTTGAAATGAGAGAACAATCGAAGTTAGTGTTTGAGAAGCGATGACGTGCACTTTGGTGTGTGGATGTGTACTGTACGTCCAATTCATCATCATCATGAGAGGGAAGACATTTTGTCCAGCACATTTGAACACAAGTTGTATTCAATTCAATCATCATCATCAGAGCAAATGACACAATCCAGCTGGACGGAGAATTCTGGAGCGTTGGTGTGGATCGATCACAAAATATCAGTGGTTTCTGTACCGGATCTTTACGCTCAAGAATCAAGTCCGAAATCAAAATCTTGATATGCTTGATACTCGAAGACTGTCCAAAAACAAACCAAAAATATTTAGGGGACAGACGGCACTCTACAATACTGTAGCTGACTTCTTGAATATATTCCGTCATGACATCATGTAATAGAATGTCAAGGAATTCGATTTTGTCACACTTTTTGCTGCATTTCGTTGGGCATCATGTTGCTCCTTCTGGTGTGAGCACCTCAGCCCTTTTTTGGGGAGTGGGTGGGGGTATATCGGATGTTTAAATTTTTTTTTTTCAAGAATTTTGTGGATATGTTCAAGGGTTACATTAGTTAGCGTCCCCCCCCCCATTATGTGTTAGCATTAAGCTAGCAGAGGCCACGTAAGCCACGTAAAATAAATCTCTTCATTATATGTCTAATAATATTGACCTTCACAGGTTGAAGCCTCTTTGGGAAGAATTGTTGACTAGTTCTAATTGGAAAACTGCCACTCGCCGTGGAGTGAGTTGCGTCACTCCCACCGTACAGCCGCTCGCTTCGCAAGTTGCGCTGACAAGTCAAAGCAAAAAAAAAAAAAAAAAAAATCCTAAGAGCTTGTATCTCAAAGCATCGCCATAAATGAACAACAGCAACACAGTGGAATGGAGCTGAAGGATCCAGTGCGTGCCCAAATGCTACATGGTCGGCGGGAACTACTTTTTCGTCTTCCTGGGAACGTCCGACGTGCGTCAGCGCATCGGCACGCCGCTCCGTAAGTACATCCGTCGCTCAGTTTCGGTCTGCGGAAAGAGCCAAGACGTGCATTGTGATGGCGATGGGAAAACAAAAAGGAGATGTGGCAACGCCTCGCGTTGCGAAACACTTCAGGTTCAACCTCAACGCACAATGCGGGGCATTTACGACGTGGCGGACGGACAACCGGAGCGTGGTGTCAGGTGATGCCGCTGGCCAAAGACAGACCTCGCTGGCGGGGTCTTACACTGCCGCAGGCGGCCGCCATCCAGGTACAGGAGGATGAAACGGGGAGCTTGCAGCGCCGCTTAGCGCTGCTGTTGTTGTCGTCGTTGGGCTTGCCCAAATGAATCCAGATGGAGGTGACATCAAGCACCAAAATAAATACATGCCGTCAACAAAGATAATAACATTGTGCATAATGTAATTGTTTTATGAACTGGTGACGAGCAATTCCAGACGCATGTGACGGGTATTTATACAGAGTATCGGCATCACCGATACCAGTCGAAATGTGACTGCGCGCTCGACCTTTCAACAGTAGCTTTTCCGAAAAGGCAATTCCTAGTCCATGCATGACTCTGCATTCGGACTCATGACTGCAGTTGGGTCTTGCGTTGCGCACATTCGGATGATATAAGATGAAAACTCTTGGACACAAACACGGGAGGTTTTCAAATATGATTTGACGGCGTATTCAATCGAGCGATTGCAACGGAGCATGGACTCCTGACACATTTGGCTCTTTATGGCTGTCCTGATCCCTCAGTGACATTCAACTTCCAACCATCAATATTTGTCATATCAATGACATTTTTTGGGTTTGCTACTCAGTTTTGCCCCGCCCGCTAAAAAAAAAATATAAACAAAAACCTGTTCAGTTAAATAAGATGATGCCAAAAAAAAAAAAAAAAAAAAAAAAGACGAGTCATAACTTAAAAAATAAATAAAAAAAAAAGACATTTGATCGAGAATCTGGGAATGAATTTTGAGGAAGTTTTTGAACGCGTGCAAATATTGTAATATGTCAATTATTTAAGCCACGAAATGACACAGCATATATTAGACTTCAAAAAAAAAATCCTGACGACATTGATCAAACTGTGAGAAATGTCTTGGATCTTACTGATGTTATCGAATGTGTGTGCATTATATAAAGTATATACACACAGATATACTGCTCAATAAATAAAAGGAACACTTGTCATTACATTGTGCTGTTTAAGTGCTCCCTTTATTTTTTTGAGCAGTACAATTTTTCAGAAACGTGCTCTTGATGACAAAATTATGTGACATCACTCTGAAGGCTCACTGAAAAAAAAAAAAAGTAAAAACAGAACACAAAAAGCTAAGTGACAATATATAAGACATCGTAGTGGGCACGTTTCAAAATTGTCCCCCTGATGACATTGATCAACTTTATAGATGCAAGTTTGCATTTGAGTAAAGGAGAACTTTAATCTTGCATTTCAGATGACTGTCACGCTATTTCATAATTAAATAAAACATAAGAACATGCCTGTCATGGTCATCGACTATTCTTGTTTGTTGAATTTGAATTGCACGTGCGTGTGTTTGGCTTGTTTTTCAAAAACTAGAAAACAAAAATAGTAATTTAAATGTAGACTTGTGCAATTATGCCATTACGTTAACGATATAATGAGAAAAATACACGAAAGAAAAAGGTATTCCAAAACATCTTCCTGGCTTGAACTTTGCGTTTCAGTGGAGGATGACTTTGATGTGATTGACGATCGCAAAACCGTTTTCATGCCATTGATGGAATCCGAGAAACATCAAAGAAAAGCTGTTTTCAAATATCTTGCCGCTGACCAAAAAAAAAAAAAAAAAAAAGGCAAACAAACAAACAAACCACATCATGGATGCAACTTTGCATTTGGGCAAAAGATGACTTTGATCTTATTGACAGCAAATGTTTTGATCTGATTGACGATACGACAGAAACATTACAGATCAAAGAAAACATTTTTCCTGTTGACAAAAACGATTTTTTTTGGAAGAATGCTCTATGGCGTGCACCAGGACAAACAATGAAAGAAAATTATAAATATGAAACATCATAATTTAAAAAAAGAGGGGGGATCCTGAGTCTTTGGAAATAAAGTCTGGATACGAATCATATATATTTTTTAAACCTTCAAACAAGCGTTGCAACGTGATTCCCTTTTCCCTAAGCTTTCTTCTTTCCTTTTAAATGTATAATTGTATTTTTTTTTTACATTTTTATCCTTTCTTTGCCTTTCAAAAAAAAAAAAAAAAAAAAGCATCCTGCTTCAAATCACAACAACACACACAGTGGGTGAGTGTATCTGTATCTGTGTGTGTGTGTTTTTCTTTTCTCGCTTTCCACGTGCAAATGCTATCCCAGATTCAATTTCAGATAGCGACGAGGGTGCTTTTCATCCTTTTTGGGAGACAATATTTAATATGCTGAAATGAGATCAGCTTTATCCTCGCCCGTTTTGCGCCCACACAACCATTCCGCCGTCACAATTATTTCTTGCCTGCTGTTTTGATCACATCCGTCGCTTTTCAAACACACAATCGAAAACGCCGCTAAGCGAAGGCAATTTAATCGAACTACGTCGACATCTATATACAGACATACATATATCTATATGTATATCTATACATGTAAAGCAATAATTGTCTTTGATTTTGAAGTATCTCGTAGGAAAAAGTAGCCGCCCTCCCTTGTCTCTCCCCCGTGGAGTCTTTTCTTTGTTTTTGTTTTTTTTTTTTCTTTATCAGCAAATGAAGCGTATAAATGACCTGGAAAGGCGTCTGCCTGTGAATGAAGTCAAATGAAGAACAATTGTCCCTCCGTAGCTGTGATGAGGATGATGTGGCGCTGCCGAGGAGATAAGAGCATTGAGCACTGTTGGAGTCCACGCAGGGATTCAAACAGACAGGAGGGGGCTGGGGGGTGGGGGGAATCAAACACTGTATTATTTAAAGCCAGTTTTTGGGGGTTTTTGTAGTCTCTTAAACATGTCCCGTGAAAGCTATTATTTTTTTTTTTTTGCTGTGTCATGAAGACGCCATTAAAAAAGATAAATATAAATTACAAACAAGAGTACTACTGAGGACAATATGTCAATATCATATTGAAAAAAAAATACGTATGAATGTAAAACAAATAAGGTTGGCGTGATGGGTAAAAACTGGGTGTCCCAGAATATTCATTAAAAGTATTACAAAATAAGACTAATAATGCAAAGGAGTGGTGAGCATTATCTAGTTATATATTAAAAAAAAAAAAAAAAGGATGTGATGAGACCAACAATAACCTACCAGAAAAGAAAACAAAAATAAAAATGTTGCATGTCAAGCTATTTTTTTATTTGAAGTGTCACTTGAACGTCATGAGAAAATACAAATCATTCTTATGTATATATATATTTTTTTAAAAATCCAGATATTGCCTTTAAAAATTGGTGCCACTAAAAAGAAAGCTAATAACTAGCCAGAAAATGATCATGCATGTACTGATTAATAACTGGGTGTCATGAAAGCGTCATGGAGAATGGTGGAATAATTATGATTGTGAAAAAAAAGTGACATGCAGATTTCATAAATACAAAGACAATTGATGAGAAAGTTTAGAAAAATAAAATGATTTTTTAAAAATCCAGTGCATGAAAACGTTTGTGTCTTAAAAATGGGGTGACAGGTCCATTAACATTGGAAAGAAAAATCTAAAAAAAACTAAGAAAAAAATCACACACACACACACACACACACACACACACACACACACACACACACACACACAGCATTGTCATGAATGTAAACATTAAAGTTGCATAAAAATACATTACGTAACAATATGAATGCAAACTGAGCATGCCAATAAGAGCCCTAATAATAATTATAATAAATTACGTCTGAAAGTTGGCGTTATAAAAACTAAAAATAAAACCACAATGCAACTAATCCCGAATGTACGTCATTAAAATAACCTGAAAAAATGGTACTTCATTTAAAAAAAAAAAAAAACAAAAAAAAAAAAACGACCCCGCCACCCCAAAGAAAAAAACGATGCCACAAAACCCTGCATGCAGAATGAAAGTAATCCCCCCCAAAAAAATCAATAATGCCACAAAATAAGGCAACGATTGTGCTCATAAATGTCAAATAGCGCCTCATGAAAACACGACTGCATAGAAACACAACCAAAAATTCCAGCTTCACACAACTCAACACCCCCCCTCCCCAATTTTTGGAGGTGTCCAACTTCAAGTATCCTCATTTACAAGCTGCGTGTGGCAAAATGCGCGCACCCCCCC